ATTATTAAGAAGAAGAAGATTAGGCTTACTGATCTGAAAGCAACTAGTTAAACTTCCCAAAGTATGGCCCTTAAAAGCCACCTGTATGGCTGATCTTCCAGCCAAACACAGAAAGGCCATGTAGAGTGATGGTGGTGGAAGCTTGGTATCATCTGTTTCTGGCCTTCAGGGTTGCGAAGGCGGGGGTTCACATGGTTCATTCATTCTTCGAACCAGTTTTCTCCATACACTGTTGATTTTCTTCACTTTCCTTTATCACCAGTGAGGAAGAAACTAGTAGTTGAATGGGTAAGGCAGGAATGACTAGGAAAGGGGGAACAGTGATGGTAAGCCTAGTGGGAAAATGAGAAGAGCACAGTTATATTGTGAGGACTCTGAGGACTGCAATCACTGTCAAGAATCAAAATGTCCATCTTCAGGGATATGAACATGTACAGCTAAGCACAACTGATAACAGTGCACCTAAATTCCAAAATCAATCTCCACAACATTCTACGTGTTTCCTATTGCCAAAGGGGTCCTTTAGAGTAGTGAGAGAAGATCTTCACCCTGAAACCTACAGCATCCCTTTTCAGCAGGTAATAGCTAAGAGAATACACCGTCCCCTTTTCCTTATGAATCAGGGTGAAATCTCTCTCAGGGAGGAGTGATAGGGAATCGTAAAGGACACACTGACAAAGGAGACTAATCATAACTGGTTTTGACAAGCACTGTGGCAATAGGACAATTAAAACAGACTTTCAAGGCATATTCAACCTGAATCCTTCTGATTATATGGAGATTTTTGAAAGTATTTCTTTGAGTTTATTATGTTTTATTTGTTTGTGTATAAAGGATGCTCATCTAGATGATAACATAATGATGATAAAAACAAAAGGGGGGAAATATAGGAAGCCAATACTAAATACTTGTAATAAACTGAATGCTATTAAAAAAATACATAAAGAATCAAAATGTCTATGAATTGTTTAACATAAAACCAATTTGTTCTATACCCTTTAAATAAAATCATATGTTTTTATAAAAAACAAACAAGGAAAATCAGAAGATAATGAAAGAGTAAGAAAGGGTGACCATGGAACAGTGGGAGAAGATACCAGTCAAGGAGTAGCAGACTGCCAGAGCCACAAGAAGCAAGAAGAGACTTGATTTAGAGCTGCCCTTGGCTTTGGCCTCCAGGACTTGAACACAATGCATTTCTATTCCTAAATGCTGCCCACTTAGGGTTATTTTGTTACATTTGTCTTAGGAAATGAAAACTCCTCTAGGCTGTACTGCACACATTTCATATCCTACTTTAAATTTCCAGGCCCTGCTCTAGACTCTCTGCTTCAGGGAAAAGAAAACTTATTACATGTAAAGAAAGGCAAGCTCTGCCTCCAATTGTCAAGTGGCCTGAGCTGCTCAGAGGTGGGTAGCTAGAACAATGCAAGAATAATTATGCATGTAAACCTCCTTCCCATTTTAGAAGTGTATCATAACTGTATCCTTCTGTAACTGCTTTAAGCTACTCAGCATAATTTCCTGTGTATTTTATAATTTTTTTAGTAGTGTGTAATTCTCCACTTGAAATAGTGTCTTTAGCCATTCGTCTGTTAAAGGACACTTGGGTTGTTTCTGTTTCTTTGCTACTGTAAATTATGAGGCAATAAAGAGAAATGTCAGTTAATGTACTTCTTATTTCTTATTAGACTTAGCAGTGATTGCTGAATCAAATACTTTTCCACACTGGTTACACAAATTTAATAAGGCATGGGCAGGAAGCATGGGATGTCAGGAAGCGCAGGATGGCAGGAAATGCATGACAGCAGGAAGAGTGGGATGGCATGGCCTGTGCTGCTCCAACAGTTACTTTGGGGGGAAAATGGCTGTCTAGCTTGATCACACCAGATCCTTTAACTCGGGAAACAAGATGGTGGCAGCAGAGGAAGTAGGATAAAGAGCTGGAGAACGGGCAAACTATATAGAAACAGGCTACTAAAGAGAGCGACACGGTGCAACATGGAAAGTAGGAATTTGAGTCAGAACTTTTATTAAAATAGTTTGGGAGCTACAGGAGCAGTGAATAGCAGGCCCCCTCAGGAACTAACCAGCTGAGTCCTGTTTAGAAGTCAAACCACTGTAGGACCCACCCGCCAGGTAAGTAGGTACTTTGGGAAACAAACTGCTTTCTGGCTTGACCATGAGGGACCCCTTAACTCAGGCTACAGGGAGGTCTTGGGCCCCTCGACAGATGTGAGAAGCCACTTTCAGAAGGGAACAACAGGCTTCCTCCTTGGTCACTCAGGAACTTTGGGAAACAAAATGCTGTCAGGTCCTTCGGCTCGCAGGCCTTGACCAAAAAGGAAGAATAATATAGGTGCTATACAAAACAGTGCTGTGGACAAAAACTAGCATCTGATAGGCACAGGAGCAGCAAGCGTTGGCAGGGTTCACCAAGCATCGGCAGGGTACAGTGAACCATGGTGGGGAGCAGTGAGCCACAACAGGGAGCAGGGAGCTGCAGAAAGACAAGGAGAACACCGGGAAATTGAGTGAGGTACTTAAGGGGGATCACGTCTGATTGCTGGATGAATTGTGGGACACTATCACCTTAAGCAGAAAGGAGTGAGAGAGCAGAAGCTCAACTTGGGTAGCAGATCCAGTTCTCGAGGAGAAAACCAAGGCTTCCTGATTTTCCTTTCAGGTCTTCCTCACACCCCACTCCACTGTGCATCTGCATGCTCGTCTCACCAATACCACCCACCCACGGGTGTGTCTGAGGATTCACCCTCCTACGAGCATCTGCTTGTGTGTGCCTATCCAAACTTCTCCTGGAGCACTGGCATCAGATCAAGGACCTGCTATTGCATCAGTCACAAAAAACTCTTACACAGCAATATAAAACACACACACACACACACACACACACACACACACAAACCACCAGACTACTTCACATTCCACATAAGCCCAAAGCAAGGTATCACCCCCAAAAGTGACACTGTAGCAATGGATTTTCTGAAGCCAGAAAGTCTGATGGAACTTTCTGACCCAGAATTCAAAAGAACAATGATTGAATATTTTCAATGGGTTAAAAACAAACTTGAAACAAGCAATAATCAAGAGGAGCTTAAAAAAACAATACAAAACAATGTAGACAAAACTGACGAGGCATTATAGGCACTAGAAAAACAAGAAACCACAATCCAAAATATGAGGTCCAAGGTTTCAGATTCTGTCAACATGCTGGAGGGTCACATGAACTGAGTTGAAGAGATGGAACACAGAACTAGTGAAATAGAAGATAGAAGTGTCGTCACCACTGATCTGCTAGAGCAAAAAAGCAGAATTGAAAAAGGAGAAAGAAGAAAACATAAGAATAATGTGGGACAAAAGCAAGAGAAACAACAGGCGCACCATCAGAATCCCAGAACAAGAAGAAGCAAGTAAAGGCACCAAAAAAGATGTGGAAGAATTACTAGGGGAAAACTTCCCAGGCATA